AAAAAAAAATAAAATAAAATTTAAGTATTTTATTATTGTTAATTGAAAATTTTGAACTACCACAAGCATCAGTTGATAAATTTATAATGTTGACAAATTACGTGTAATTTTTCGTATAAATCATGACTCGGTTGCTGAGTCAACTTATTATTTAGCAATATAAAAAACATATAACCGAATATAAGTACTTTTTTATTTAATCAGAGCCTATTACTAATATAAAATAAATATCACATGATTTTATAATAATACAAAAATTATTTTATTGAATGCCTTTGATTGGCTGAAAACAGACTAAAATAATCAATTAAGAGTCTCCATCACAAATAATAATAATTATTAAAAGTGCAGTTATTAAACGTTGAATAGTTATAAATATTTCTACTATTTTGATTATCCTGATCGCTATGAGAATTAGGAGTAGGTGTTTCTTGGCACGAATTAGAAATTTCTTGTTGATGAGGATCAGGATTATCTTGTTGATTATCTAATATCGAAAAATGCTCATCATCGCTATGAAGATTAGATGCTTCTTGACATGAATTAGAATTTTCTTTTGGTCTTTGTATTGTAATACTTTGTTACAATCACTGTAACTCTGATAATGTAGTTTGATGTATCCTTGAGACATGTCCATCGATATCTTTAAAATGATGACTACATCTTGGGCATTTAGAATATCTACTTGATCTTCCTCTATTTACTGGAGGCATTTGTTTTAGATTATAATTTTATACAACTTCTGTTATGGGATACCAATGATAAAAGTGGGCTATATGTCCTATTTCTTTTGGAGTCCTAATATATAGAAAAAAATTTTATCAACAAATAGAGCAAGTTTTTTTCTCATTAAATACCATATTTTGTTACAGTATATACGTAAACAAAATTTTTTTTTTAAATACGGACCCATCATTAATGGATTTAAACCAAGTATAAAATAGTACTACTATGATATATAATTTAAGTTTGGTATACGCGTGAAAAATAAAGATCAAAAATTCAAACTGTCCATAGGGTTATGGCAATTAATTAAAAGATTATTCCTGTGTATGACCAGTTCCAAATTTGGCAATAATATAAAACTACTTTAATTAAAAGTACTTTATTTATTAATGTTATATAATAATTTATATTCATATTAATATTCTGTTTAAATATAAATCGATTTGTAAATTATATTTAAAGTAACAAGTAACAATAGTTCAGACTGATAAAAAAAATATCTCACAAAGATCATCATAAAAAAACTCAAAATAAACTTAATGTGAAGCTTCATTCAGACAATATAAATGTTAATGAAATAAAAAAGATAGTTAAAAAATTAATTAAAGAATGTAAATCTTTCTTATCACAACAGTTGAATAGAAATGAAATCTTTGCAAAATATTATGAATTAGAAAATTCTAAGCTTAACAAATTGGAAACTCAATTTGAATCACTAATTTCCAAAGTTAACCGATTAGAAAATGATAAAATTTTATATCAAACTGAAAACAATAACTTAAAAAAGAATTACAACGCATTGCCAGCAAATATGACGATAATAAAACAGAGCTTGAAAGATATTATAATGTTATTCAAAGAACTTATTCTGTATTACAGGAATTGTTCGATTCTAATGAAATAGATAAAATTAAAACTTTTGCAATTCAAATTTATATTTCTCTAATCTTAAATTTATTTATCAGATATTAGTCAATTAGCAGACCTATGTAATAAAATTGGAGAAATTTGTGATAAAGATTTTGTAAGTAGTTATAATATTCCAACTACATCAAATAATATAGGTAAAAAATTTTTTTTAACTAATACTATTATAAATAAACCAAATTCTCTAAATTTAATACATTACTGTAAATTAATAGTATACAATTCATTTGATGATGCTCTTAATGCTTCTGAGGAAAAAATAGCTGAGATAGTTGAAGATGGTAGAGAACAATTTCTACCTTTAGTTCGATCACAATGTTTTATGATACAAATGAGAAAGAATTTGATACTGATAAATTTAATTTTTAAAATGTTAATTAACATTGTATAAAATTATCTCTTTTGAATGAATATAAAATTTTGTAATTTTTGCAAATATTGAATAAAATAAAGTAACCCGAATAAAGTTATTTTTCATGGATTTTTAAAATCTTTTGCTGAGCAATTATTGCTATGTAAAATGAGTTTGCTGACTCCTGGATATTAAGGCAGATATTCTAGGGCAAAATAAATGTAAAAAAAATACTCGTTAAATATGTATAAGATTCGACATGCCCACATGGGCATTATTTAAAACAATGACCTGAATTAGGCTTAACATGGGCCAAAATTCAAAATTATACCCTCAAGTTGATTTTAAAAATAGCTTTTATTATTTATCTTAGAAAAAAAACAGTAATTTATGTAATAATCACTCTTTGAGAGTGAATTTATTATTAAAGATACTCAAGAACAATTTGTTTCTTCAAATTAAATTTTGCCCATGTCTCTTCGAAAGTGACTTTAATATAACTTGTTTCTTCAAATTCGCAAACTGCTGAAACTTTTAGGAATTGTTATTATTTGAAGCAAAAGTTAACTCATTGCATTACATACTTCAGTTAACTATTTACGACTGTAATTAATGTATATATAATTTAAACAAGGAATTACCAAATCTAGGATTTTTTTTCAATATACTTCAATTATAAAAAAGCTTTATTTCATTCGTAAAAAATCAAATTGACATAGTAAAATGATAAACCAAATTATATAATACAATTATTTAATTGATAATAGACAAAAAACTCTCATCAGACATTATGCTTGCAAATTTTAATTGCATCAATCATCATATGAGAGCAATATATAATTTAATGATAGTATGACCAATGGACACAAGGACTAATACAAAGTGGGCCAACCCTATTTCAGAATTTTAAAAAACTAAGTCATGTAAAGTAAATTAATAAGAATTAATAGAAATTATAAATGGCACTTCCATATAGCTTTCTTGCAATCAAAATACTTTGATGTTAGTCTATGCGACAGATTATTCAGTTATAATTTGTAATTTCTATTGTTGGAAAACATTATTCTATAGTTAAAAGAAAAAGAAAAAGAATGTCCCATTGAGCACACGTTCTTGACCGGCCCATAAAGCACATAGTCATAAAATCTAAGAAGCAATTAATCCAGTTTTATGAAATAAAATATATAAACTTCAAATAAAATTTTACTTCTTGAATAATCAATTTAGTTTCTTAATCTGATTTCGTCATTAGAACATTTTCATCTTCGTATCCAAAACTTCATTATCCAAATTAATAATTCAAAAAAAGATTGCTGTGAGTGCGAATTACAATACTGGTATTTGAACGAACTGAATCAGTATTAAATTTAAAATCAAAATCCGATCTATTCTCTTGAGTGGTCAAGTCTGTTTACTTGAATAATGTATTTCAAATATGTTATATGCTGGTTGGAACCTCAAATTAGTTGTATGGTTTTTTCTTCAATTACTACGATAAAAGAATGTAAGTTTAATTTTGACAATTTAAATAGAAATTAATGCAAAAAATAAATAAATTTTACAGTATTTTTGTTTTTGTAATCAAGTTCTATTAAGTCAGTTGACAATATCTTGCTTTAAATGTATCAATTATTTACTATTGTGAAACTTTAGAGGCGTTAAGTCAGTTGATAAAGTTATCAAAGTTATCTTGCTTCGATTACAGTAATATGAACCAATAAAAATTTTTTTCCTAATGTAATATATCTTGTTTCTTATTATGATAATCAAGTTCTGCTATTTACTATTGTAAAACTTTAGGAGTGTTAAGTCAGCTGACAAATGAGTTATCTTGCTTCAGACAGTAACTTTAATAAGTTATTGTAATCAAGTTCTATTGTGAAACTTTAGGGGCATTAAGTCAGTTGACAATTATCTTGCTTCGACTGCAGTAATATGAACTAATAAAATTTTATTTTCATGAGATATCTTGTTTCTTATTACAGTAATCTTTGATAATCAAGTTCTGCTATTTACTATTGTGAAACTTTTAGAGGCGTTAAGTCAGTTGACAAAGAGAGTTATCTTGCTTTTTTTTTCTGAGATATCTTGTTTCTGCTATTTAAAACATGCTATTTACTATTGTGAATATCTTGCTTACTATTGTGAAACTTTAGGGTATTAAGTCAGTTAACAAGAGTTATCTTGCTTTAAATACATTTATTACTCTTTTGTCAACAGACTTAATGCCCCTAAAGTTTCACAATAGTAAATAGCAATCGAAGCAAGATAATTCCGACTTAATGCCCCTAAAGTTTCACAATAGAACTTGATTGCAATCAAAAGCAAGATAACTCTCTTTGTCAACTAACATAATGCCCCTAAAGTTTCACAATAGTAAATAATTGATGCATCTAACTCTTTTGTCACGAACTTAACACCCCTAAAGTTTCACAATAGTAAATAGTAGAACTTGATTATCGAAATTACTATAATAAGAAACAAGATATCTCAGGAAAATAAAAGTTTATTGGTTCATATTACTGCAATCGAAACAAGATAACTCTTTGTCAACTGACTTAACACCCTAAAGTTTCACAACAGTAAATAATTGATGTATTTAACTCTTTTGTCACAGACTTAATGCCCTTAAAGTTTTACAATAGTATATAGCAGAACTTGATAAAATTTTGGTTCTGTAACAGCTTATTGTCAACTTACTTAATGCTCCTAAAGTTTTACAATAGAACTTAATTACAATAACTTATTGAAGATTATGTAATCAGAAACAAGATATCTCAGGAAAAAAAGCAAGATAACTCTTGTCACAGACTTAATGCCCATAAAATTTCACAATAGTAAATAGTAAAACTTTATTATCAAAGATTACTATAATAAGAAACAAGATATCTCAGGAAAATAAAATTTTATTGGTACATATTACTGCAATCGAAGCTTTGTCAACTGACTTAATGCCCCTAAAGTTTTACAACAGTAAATAATTGATGCATTTAAAGCAAGATAACCTTAGTCAACTGACTTAACACCTCTAAAGTTTCACAAAAGAGCTTTGTTACAGACTTAACGGGCTAAAGTTTCACAATAATAAGAAACAAGATATCTCAGGAAAATAAAATTTTATTGGTTCATATTACTGTAATCGAAGCAAGATAACTCTTTGTCAACTGACTTAACGCCCTAAAGTTTCACAACAGTAAATAATTGATGATAACCTGCCAACTGACTTAACACCCCTAAAGTTTTACAATAGAACTTTATTGCAATCAGAAACAAGATAGCTCAGGAAAAAAAAAGGTAAGATAACTCTCTTTGTCAACTGACTTAACGCCCCTAAAGTTTCACAATAGTAAATAGCAGAATTTGATTATCATAATAAGAAACAAGATATCTCAGGAAAAAAAAGCAAGATAATTCTCTTTGTTAAATAACTTAATGCTCTAAAGTTTCACAATAGTAAATAATTGATACATTTAACTCTTTTGTCATGGGCTTAACGCCCCTAAAGTTTCACAATAGTAAATAGCAGAATTTGATTATCTAATAAAAAACAAGATATCTCAGAAAAATAAAATTTTATTGTTCATATTACTGCAATTGAAGCAAGATTGTCAACTGACTTAACGCCCCTAAAGTTTCACAATAGAACTTGATTATAATAACTTATTGAAGTTACTGTCAGAAGCAAGATAACTCATTTGTCAACTGACC